AATTAACATTTGTTTACTAATTCAAATTTACGTGACATCATTTTGTGAAACAATAATTGAACATATTAAACTAATTAGACATCGACGTAATATACCTTGGGATAACAGATTCTACACATATTATATTTATTTCCAATGTGGAATAGATATTTGTTGAAAGATTGTCCCTATATGAGATAATTTATATTCAGAAAATTATCAAATAAAAATAAACAGTTGATTACAATGTATAACTTATTTATTTATTATAAACTTCAGTGAAAAAGATCATTAGTACAAAAGAGAATACACACGAAATTATTAAACTAACAAAAATAAAAAAAAAATGAACACAACTGATTTTTACAAATACAAAAAATCATTAATGCAACTGGTTTTAAAAACGAAAATCATAATGCAACTTTTTTTTCACCAAACTACGTCAATTGTATCTGAATCTTAAACTATACCATTGTATTAAATCAAAGTAATAGCGCAATGTAGACTTATCAACAATATTTCACCAAGAATTTTCTTAAAAAACACTACAATTAAATTTCAACCAAATGGAAAATGTGAAGCGTGTTCTAACTTGTATTCAGACTGTCTCCTTAACTTAATGCTCGATTGTACGGCTTATAATGTACAAAGAATTTCGTTATCTGAGTCATACATTAGAGGCATTTTACGTGTAATGTCCTGAGTTAAAAAATTGATTTCTCGAAAAAAAGTGAAATTTGGGGAAATTGTTGTACTACCTAATAGTAAAATATCCCCAAAAAAATTTTTGACTTTTTTGAAATTTTTGGGGAGATAAAGGGGGTCAATTTTATCAGTTTTCCCTGACCGTTTTATGTCCGCGCGGACATAAAATCTTTGATATTTAATATCCCGAAAACAAAATAATCGGCATTCTGAAAATTTATATACAGATCGGAAAAAACCTCAGTAGTGGAATTACGAATAGCGCTAGTTGCTACGTAGTGCTTTTCGCTATTTAGGGTTAAAAACATAACCTCACTGGATAAGACCTTTGACATAGAATTCATGTCAATTTCCTAAAAGATTTAATCTACGTAGCAAACAAATACAACATGAAGGTGGAATCAATTTAGGACACCAATGCAATAACCAGACGGACGGTCGGACCGGCCGCGCTGAAACAAATCCTCGAATGAAAAAGTCGAAAAAATTAAAATTCAAAATTTTGATTTTTGAAATATACTACTTTGTAGAAAATAAAACGGCGCATCTTTTTTTCCTTTAACTTTTTTTTGTAGAATGAATAGTTTTGACAATAATTGCAAAAAACTAAATATTTTCAATCAACAAATGTTATTGAATTTTTAAACACAAATCGTTCCAGTTCGGACAAATATTACTGAATTTACTTCAAATTTGGTATACCCACGCATTTAGGTCTAGAGAAGACGATAGCATGATGAAAAAGTTAAAATCCGTAAATTATTTAATTATTTATTAATTTAAATAATAACTTACCTGTACTCTCGTTTTCCTATCATTGCCGACAAAAAGTCTGTGGGGAACTTTTTCGTTGAAAAAACTTCCAGTGAGACATTTGTTCCTCACATATCGAAGAAGTTTTGTGGAAAAATTCAGATCGATTTATTCAAAACTGACGACAATGCCGTCTGGCAGTGTTGGATCGTAGATCGCGGAGTTATTTTGATTGGCGTTGCGTGTGTTTCATTAAAAATTGTGTATCTTCGTCAGTTTTGAATAAATCGATCTGAATTTTTCCACAAAAACTTCTTCGATATGTGAGGAACAAATGTCTCACTGGAAGTTTTTTCAACGAAAAAGTTCCCCACAGACTTTTTGTCGGCAAAGATAGGAAAACGAGAGTACAGGTAAGTTATTATTTAAATTAATAAATAATTAAATAATTTACGGTTTTTAACTTTTTCATCATGCTATCGTCTTTTCTAGACCTAAATGCGTGGGTATACTAAATTTGAAGTAAATTCATTAATATTTGTCGGAACTGGAACGATTTGTGTTTAAAAATTCAATAAAATTTGTTGATTGAAAATATTTAGTTTTTTGCAATTATTGTCAAAACTATTCATTCTACAAAAAAAAGTTAAAGGAAAAAAAGATGCGCCGTTTTATTTTCTACAACGTAGTATATTTCAAAAATCAAAATTTTGAATTTTAATTTTTTCGACTTTTTCATTCGTGGACTGGCTTCAGCGCGGCCGGTCCGAGCGTCCGTCTGGTTATTGCATTGGTGTCCTCAATTCTCTAACTTCATGTTTGCCAACTGTTAGTTTCAAATAAAATAATTTACAAAAATTTATTTGATTAAACATTTTGATTATTCGAATAAATTTAATCTGAATCCATAATTTTTAATTTCATACTTTCCACTTCAAAAAGTACTCATACTATAATTTCTATCTTTGAATTTTACCAGCGAAATAATTGTGCTAACCTTAATCTGTGAAACTGATACAATTTGTTTAAGTTACCCAGTAACAAAAAAATTTGTTAAGTGAATGTAGCTTCAAATCGCTAGGTATAGAAATCTTCGTAGCACTGTTGCTATTCGCAATCCCACTCCAGCTTTCGTTTGCAATTATTTATTTAAAAAAAAACGCACCGTTTTTAGTAAAAATAGCAAATTTATGTTTAGTTATAGAAAATCAAGGTCAAAATTCAAAAAATTTAAAGAAACGAAATTCACCAGTGGAAAGAGCATGAGAAAATCTTCAAAAAACATACCTGCCAAAATTTTTTTGGGCATATTTTACTATTAGGTAGGACAATAATTTCCCCAAGTCCTAGGCAATTCGGGTTTTACCTAGGTAAATCGGGTTATGCCGAGGTCGTTTTAGGCAAATTGAAAATTAAATTAAATTTAATGGTATTGAGTCATGTATTGATGTAAACAAAGAGTAAATGATCAATTTTTCATAGCTGGAATATATATATATTGTTCACTATAGTTATTAGTGTCTCCTCTGACTTGACTTTGACATGTTTCGCACATCGACAAAAAAGTTGAAATAATTTCGCGAGTTATATTGGCGTATTTTTTTGAGGTTTCACTTATTAAACGATCACGTCCTCCATGACCAGTCCCGATATGTGCAGATTGCAAAGTATCGAATGTTTCTTCTAATGCTACATAATATTTAACTTCACATCACGCCCACAACTTCTAAAATGTCGTATCTCTTCAACCTTCGGTACTGAAGACTACTTTTTGATTCACTTAATTTTGCACTTTTTATATCAGCTAAAATCTCGTCATATTCTGCTTGATTAATTACTTTGTAATTTGCAGATTTATTAACTGCAGAAAAAAACTCACGTTTCCATTTCTGTATAGAAATTTCGTTACTCATTTCGAAAGATGTGTACAAATTCAAGTCAGAAGAGACACTAATTACTATAGTGAACAATATACTGTATATTCCAGCTATGAACCCTGTTGAAAATTCCTATGTGAGAACACATATGGGATCCCATCCAGGATCTCTTGTGAGTTCTTATGTGGGTTCCCGTACAGGTTCACACATAAGATCCTGTATGAAAAGGTTCCTGGGATGAACTTGCGTGAGATCAAGCGCACGATCTTATGTCTCTGTAAAAGCAATAACACAGGATCCCATGAGGTTTCCTGTGTAGGTTCCTATATGAACAACACGATAAATAGGAACACACATGGGATCTTATCCGAGATCTTGTATGAGTTCTTACATAGGTTCTCACATATAAGAAGATTAATAGCAGCTTAATAAGATTTTATAGAATGCTTTTATATATATGCTATTAATCTTCTTATATGTGAGAACCTATGTAAGAACTCATACAAGATCTCGGATAAGATCCCATGTGTGTTCCTATTTATCGTGTTGTTCATATAGGAACCTACACAGGAAACCTCATGGGATCCTGTGTTATTGCTTTTACAGAGACATAAGATCGTGCGCTTGATCTCACGCAAGTTCATCCCAGGAACCTTTTCATACAGGATCTTATGTGTGAACCTGTATGGGAACCCACATAAGAACTCACAAGAGATCCTGGATGGGATCCCATATGTGTTCTCACATAGGAATTTTCAACAGGGAAGAATTGATCATTTACTATTTGTTTACATCAATACATGACTCAATACTATTAAATTTAATTTAATTTTCAATTTGCCTAAAATGATCTCGTCATAACACGATTTACCTAGGCAAAACCCGAATTGCCTAGGCAATTCGGAAAATGTATATGAACCTCTAGGAAATTCTGGTATTTCCTAAAATCATAGGTTAAACCCGAAATGCCTAGGCAAATCGGGTTTTGCCGGTAATATGTGTATATATAAGATGTTCAACTTGTGGTGATGATGCTTTCTATTTTGAGACATTCCAAACAGGAAGAATGGATTTTAATTTATTAATTACAGATCTCTTTGTGAGCAGACCAGGAACCTATTTCTTTAGAATATTCTACTACTTGCAAAACATTGATTATCGTAATAGGAGGAAGGTGTCGAAAGTGTCTTATCAGCAGCAGCTTAAGTACTGTTAGCCTGGTAATTTCAGAAATGATATACGAAATGAAATGAAATGTAAAAACGCGGCTTTAGAATAACTGGAAAATCTTGGCAGTTCAGAGGCAATATAAGGTCGACGGAAAAAATGAGAAAGCAATTCCAAAGAAGAGAGACATTCAGGCAACGTATGCGCCGAAGCTGCAGCAGTCTAGGGCGGAGCAGAAATCAACGGCAGGATCAACAATAGGGACTATACTTTGTATGGTGCAAAATACAGACAATATTGGATTTACTTTACATGGGTAAAGTGCATTCCGTAGATCGAAAAGTAACACTTGAAATCAGCAACTTGGATATTGCTTTACTTAGGAATAAAAAATCAATCGATAAGTAGGTTTGATAGACTTAAACCTTGAGTAATAAAACTCACAGTTGTAGTTAACGACCAAGAAGAAGTGGACAGGTTGGAGAAATTGTTTCACATAAATAAAGTTTTATATTTTGCTCAGTCTGGAAGATAGTGATGGTTCTTAGGTGTCATCAGTGTCTGAAGTATGGACACAAGAGAAGAGATTATAATGCGGTTTTGACCCCACGTGAAAAGATTACCGGTAAACTCCGCGAAGTAGCTCCGCGGATTTTCCGCGAAATTTCCGCAATTTTTTTTTTGCATAATAATATATTTATGTTATTATTTAAAGTAATATAATATTAAATTCAATACATTCTATTTAAATTACGTTTTATACTTTAGTTAACAACTGAGACAAGATTTACTGTTAGACACGTCAATTTTTTGAAAAAAAAATATTGATAACCTTTAGGATAGTTTCGTGGTTACAATCGGTAAGGATTTTTTTTAAGGATTTTAACATTTCAAGACATGATGAAAATACGAAGCATTAGAAGAATAACAAATCGATGTCACTCAAGAACTAGGCAGCAGCAAGAATACAATTTTTTGGGGAAGTTAAACATGTCGTATAAAATTTTCATACTACGAAGCCACCAATAAGTAACGGTAACGACAGGGAAATCATTTCTTTCTCCAAACCTTTTTAAGAGCTTATAACCTGTATTTAGATTATAAAGTTATTTTCTGAAAGTTTTAATTGTAACCTAATTTAACCCTACTAAAAATTAAAATATATAATGAGTGAAATAAATTTTATTAAATAAATAGAAATCAGTATTATATGGCAAATGCATTTTTATTTTTTTATTAATAAAATTTTTATATGAAATGAATTTTATTATTGTCTTATAAAAAGGATAAATACAAGTAAAAAACTATTTAATCAGCTATTATATATTTAACTTTCTTTAATGCAATAATCTGATATCAATTTTGGGATTACTTTTTTAAATAGAAAAGAAAAATACATACATCTTTACCGGCTATAACCGTAAACCTATTTTTATAGTTTTCAATTTTTTGTTAACAAAAGTAGTGTCAAAGTCTTCTCTCACTTGTTAACTAAAAATTAAAAAGTAATTTTAAGTAGAATATACACAATTTAATTTTATATTATTTTAAATAATAACATAAATATATTATTATGCAAAAAAAAAATTTTCGGAAATTTCGCGGAAAATCCGCGGAGCTGCTCTGCGGAAATTCCGCGGAGCTACTTCGCGGAGTTTACCGGTAATCTTTTCACGTGAGGACAGATCGGCTAATAAGTATTTTAAGAGCGGAGAACCCGGTCACAAATGTGTATATTGTGAAAAGAGCACAAGCAGATTCTTATGTATAACGGAGAAGTTCGGCGGGAAGAAGAATCCCAACTACATCGTAGGAAATGGACGATACGAAATCTTGAGATCAGCTCTTGAGGAAGAGAAAAAGAGTTTCGCAAGAACCTGGTATATACAAAATAACGACCTCACCTCAAATGTACAAAGCCTGTCAGTAATTCTGTATACGTGAATCAATAAACGTGCCGAACCAGTCCGTATGCTAAGCTTTTCTCAGCAGGGACGTATCATGTCTCTTTCATTTTATTTATTTTTAAATAAACTTTTCTCTCTGTGAAATAAAGGGAAATAAACCAATGGATAAAATTTTTCCATCACACAGAGTTTGCAATGTAGATATTTAAAATTTTGAAAAAGTGACGTTATTATAGTACACGGGAAAAAAAATTCTCAAATAACAGCTATAAACTTTAAATTATATCTTGTATGCTGATGACCTTAAATTATTTAAGATCATTTACATTGCTGATGACTTTTATGAACTACAATCTAATTTAAATAATCTTGTAAAATGGTATTGCTTACACAAATTATCTCTAAATATTCTAAAGTATTTTGTAATCACTGTCTCTCAATTGAGTTGAATTATTCATCATGGTTATAAGATTAAGACTTATAGTCTACTTAGGAAGGAACATTTGCGTGATCTTAGACTAATCTGGTGTGCGAATTTCTCATTTAATGAACATAGAATTGTAAACATATTAATTAATCTATTAGCAAACTTGGTTTTAATTATGAGAAGTTTACGTCATTGATTAAATTATATTGCGAATCATGACAGACAAATCTAGTATACATGACAAAATTTTTGAATGTTTTTTAGAAAAAAATTGAGAGTTTTTCAAGTTTTTAAAAACTTAGATAAGCTTTTTATAAAGATCGTAAATTGTGATCTTTATAAATCCACCAATGTAAGTAATTCAGTAATGTTGTTAATATTTGCACAGAGAGCACAGTTTAACTCGCATTCCAGGAAATGTCGCTCCTTAGAGACATTCTTTAAACTCTCTCATGGATTTATTTCAGGTTCTTCCTTAACTCTCGCAAGGAAACTTTATTTTTACTGGTTAAAATTTTTAGTATATAAAATTCCTCTTATTTGTTGAAACTGCTACAACTTTATGTGACAATCTTTATTTAAAAATACATGAATTTTCATAATGTTTACTTATTCGATAAAGCTTCTTTTCTACTTCTTTTTTTTTGTTAAATTTCAAAATTTAAAAAGGCAATTAAAATTACAATCTTTTAAAGTTAAAAAAATATTTTTCAAATATCTAAGAAAGTTTTTAAGATAAAGAAATAAATTTAATATAAGCATTCTACTTTTAACTTATTACTTTTTTACTTTAAGAATATTTAATGACATTTTTAAAAGTCGAGTTATGATATTATAATAATTATAAAGTCAATTTAAACTACATTTAATATTCTTGAATATAGAAGCCACAAATCTCTGAAATTATTTTGTAATAAAATATTTTACGATTAAACTCTCCTCTTTACAGATAATGTAACGATATCCGCATATTCATATTTTATTTCAAAAGTTAGACAATTTCCCGTGATTTTACGAGAAATCTTGTTATGAGAAAATGTCAAAATTAAATCTATTTAAGTACGTCATAATAAGTGTACTTGTAGAACAACATCGCGAATGAGAATACAATTAAAAAGGAATTTAGAAAAATTTAAAGTCATGTGATTATTTACAAAAAAAATATCAACTTTTTTAGTAGCAATTAAAAAGGAATTGTTATTTGTTAAAGATTAAAATTTTACTGTTAGGTTTTAAACATAACTAAGTCTTGGTAAAAAATGGAAGAATCAAAATTTTCTATCAAGACTACCTATCGCCCCGGGAAACTTGCCAAGATAAAAGGAAGTTGTTCATACTGCACAAATGCTGCGAGAAGAAGACAAATTGACCAGTGAAAATTCATTACTGACTACAGGAATTTTCTTACCTTCTAGCTTAAGATTTATATCTTTATAGGAAAACGACACATTGGTCAAGAAATAGCTGTCGGACATATTTTCGAAAAAACAGTTTATATTTTACCGTTTTTTTAATTGGATTGGAAGATTTATTGAAATATTAAAAATAAAAAAATTAGTAATTTAATTAAATTTAAAGTTTGTAATTTGTTAAAACGGTTTTTTTTTAATTTTATAATATTTATTTATTTATTCCTATCTTAAAAACGAGACATGTAATTGCCTAACTTCAAGTGTCGACACCTATCCTTATTGGTAGAATTCAAAATTATGAAGTGTGATTGGTCAAAACTGACAACATACTTTCATCAGATACTTGAAGCTAATTTCAAGTGTAGACACCTTTCTTTATTGGTTATTTTGCGAATTCTTCTTAATTTTGATTAATTAATTTTTCTAATTTGAAAATAAAATTTAATATTTTTTAAAAAAATTAATATTTTTCATGAAACATTAAATAACATAAAGCTAAAATTTTTTTAAATAAATATTTTACAAATAAATATGTGAATCCATTTAAAATATAAAGAAACTTATAAATTGGTGCGATTCGCTTTTGTCAAGGTTAGGTAGCTACCTTGATTTAAATATTTTCTTAAGGTGTGCTTTTACCATTGTTTTTTCATATCATGTTGATTCAATTATAGTTTCCAGGATATATAATCACGAAAGATAAAAAGAATTATATTTATACAACATATGCATAAATTATATTTTTTCAAGGTCATTTGTGTTTAAAAAAAATTATTTTTAATTGAAACATTTGTAGAAATGAAGGTGCATAAATAGAATAAACATGATAGAGGGGATGAGCCTGTGCATTTGGTGATGGTAGGCACATGATAGCACTACTGAAAAAATTGTGTATTTTTGTTTTAGTTTGTTAGTCATTGTGAGTGATTACAGTGTTTTCAGTATTCAGGAAAATTTTTTGTGGTGAGAAAAAATGAAGAATTTAGTTTGTAATTAATTGTTATTGATTACAGTGTTTTCAGTATTTATGATAATTTTTTTGGTGAGAAAAAATTGAGAGTATTAGTTGTAATTAATTGTTATAGTGATTTCAGTATACATGATAATTTTTTTTGGTGAGAAAAAATTGAGTGATAATTTGTAACTAATTGTTAGTGATTACAGTGATTTCACTATTAAGAATAATTTTTTGTATTTTTACAGTGATTTCAGTTTTTGTGTTAAACAAGTTATGAACTGGGCATGAAAAATGTATTGTGTATTGTATTCTTTTTCTTTGTTATTGTGATATTTAATTGAAATTATCAGTTTACTAATTCGATAAGCAAACTTTTGAAATGATTGACTTGATCTACGCAAAGATATATTTAATCGTGGTCAATTATATGTTGCATTTTCACGAATTCGGTCTTGGGAATCTCTCAAATTTTTCTTGGAAGTGAACAAACATAAAATATTGTTAAAAATTATGTATATATACAAAATTATACATTTAAAATAAATAAATAAATTTTATGATTCGTTTAAAATTTTATGTGATTAAATTATAGAAAATTAACACGCGTGCACAAGCGCGCGGCCGGTCTCGTTTATAATATAACGGAACGGAATGTAACGAAGCAAAGACAAGAGTGGAGGGTAGTTTATGATACCATTAATAATTTTAAACAAAAAAAGTAAATCTGTAAATAAAAATCTATTTCTTAATAAAGGAATGCCCAAAATCCGTCTCAATTCAGTATAATCATGACTAAACCTATTGAATGGTATCTCCGTCTGTCTAGCAACAAAACGCATAAATTTATTTTGAATCCG